TCCCGTTATTTTGTAAGGAAAGTGCGCACACTTGTCCAAAATATGCTATCCAGGAGAAAACGGGTGATCTTCGGCAAACGTCGGGAAGCTATCAGCAATGTTTGCCAATTTTTCAGCTGATAACGTCGGGATTCTGACGAAATAATCGTGACTTCAAATAGTTTATGCACCCGATGTTTGCAAGTGAACCGATACAGAAACGGGATTGTTCAGTTTTTGTGCTTGTTAATTGAAAATAGCATTGATGATTACAGCTTAAAACGTAATATAAACGAGCTTTGGCATGTCCAATACAGTATAACTTGAAGTCATGGACATTATTCACAAAACCAGATCCGGTACAAAACAAAATTTACATCGGGTCGGGCTTGCACATAAAGGGAGTTGAAGAAACCACGACAACAACGAGCAGTACAATGGCTGTGTACGTGCGTTATCATTATTGGTACATTTCTTTGCGGTCCTCTGCAAAACAACAATTTGAAATGACCAAATTCTGCGTTGTCTGAAGAACGTGAACCACAACGCATAATTTTTGAAATTTATATTTCGAATTTTACGCCGTGTTCCATAACCAGTTTCGAGGTAGTTTTGACAAAGAGAAACAAACTAAATGACTTTAGAGTATCGCGAGATTCGTGGGTAAAATATCAAGTCATTATTTAATCAACATACGTATTGTCCTCGGCGTCGCCGTCGTAGCTTCTTCGACTCCCTAATTTATGCGATGACACGACTGCGATGCTGCTCCAGTTTTTTTAAAATAAATACAAATATTTGAAACAGATTTCTGTCGTTATTCGTTCTTATAAAATAAGTTTATACCCTTCAGAATCAGTTTACGACCACCAGTGAATGGTTAATTAACCTCATATAAATAAAATCTGTGTTGTGTACGAGGAACTTTTCATCGAGACCTTTGCTTAAAATCAAACCGGATTAAAATATATGTGGTGGTTCGCTTTTACCCTTGCATTGGTACAATTTGGTATTTTCGTTTTGTTTTGGTATATGGTATCTTGTATTAAAATGAATATGAAGCAAAGGAAATATCAAATTGTACATGTTCCGAGGATAATGACGAACCACAACATATACACACATAACTTTAGATGTAGCCTTTTTAGTGCCAAATATTCCGAATAGTTTTGTGTTGAAGTTTCAATTAACCGAACCGATCAGTTGGCTCCACAAAAGTGGTTTTCTTTGTCCCTAATTGGGTCCAATTTTAGATGTATTTGACTGATGGTAAATTAAAACTCTCTGGCGTTGAAATGCAAAGCAACAACACGAGCAAAAACAACAATTCTTGGCAACACGTAAAGAGATTACATTTCAGGACTAGAAAGCTCACTTCGCCGTACAGTACGATTTAATTTGTTCGCCACTGTAAAATTGAGAGATTTATTAATTAGTCGTGTAATCCGGTTGCCCTTTCAGGCATGTTTAAATAAAGATAAATTTAAAAATCAATTAACAGATATAAATCCGACATAAGACTTGTCATGTCTAAGCACTGATTTTCAAACCCGGACCTTGTGGCAGCTAGTATTAACCTGACTCTTCTTAAAATACTATACCTGTGCACAAACTTCAATGCATCTTTACTTGCATCAACATCGTCAGGGGTTTGTTCTTGCAATTCGTCGATACTAGCAAGTTTCCTGGCACCAGCCTTCTTCCTGCGAACTATCCGTTGATGAATCTCTTCTATTTGCTCCGATGTTGTTTTCCTATTCGATTGTTTCAATTTCGCTTTGAAAGCGCCGGCTGCTCGCACTGTAGCAAGCGTCTGGTCAGGTTTCACCTTCTCTTGTCTCCCAGATTGTACAATATTTCCCATCTTGCCTTCATAATATAAACTGTTGGCATTTGCATTTGCGTACTTCTAACATGCACGCGTTAATGAGCGTGTAACAAAGCCAATCTATTTGACGTAACAATAGAAGTGATTAAACCACTATAACTATAAGATTTCCATTTGTATGTACAAGAACTTCACGTAAATAGTTACTGCTTAGAACCATTAGACTGGGACCATCGAAAATTGAAACTCGGAAAAAATTCTCCGATTGCAAGTCCAGGATATAGCTCGTGCACTACACGAGCAAGTTACGAGTAGTAGTGCATTTGCTACGAGTAATATTTCTTCGAGCGCGCGAGCGATGCTAACGCGGAGCGCCAGAGCGTTCAAAAAAGAGCTGATATCCGATAAAACACAAGTCAATCTCTCCTGATAGATTGCTTTAACCGAACATTTAGAGGCAGATCTACAAACTGTTAAAATTTCTATGCTCTATTGCAGCATTCGACGAAAAGATTTTTTTCATTTACATTATTAAAACACAAGAACCGATCGAACTGGGTTACTGGGCTGCTTTATTTCCAAAACAGTTAAAATCAGGGAAATTATAGGAGTCATAAAAATTTAAATACGCTTAAAAACTGGATTCGAAATTAAATTTACACTGCAAAATTTTAATTAAACTCTTAGATCAAT